ATGCTGGCTCTTAGACTTCGCTGGTGAATGCACTATAGGAGTTTCTTAAAAAATAATACTGCCTTATGGTCCAATTATCTGCACACCAATGTTTATTCATGTTATTTGTAGCCATCAAGATATGGAACCAACTTAGATGTTCATCAACACTTGAAAGGATAAAGGAAGAGTGGCACTCAATGGAATGTCATTCATCTGTGAAGAAGTAAGAAGCTGTAGCATTTACTGGACAGATGGAGTGGAGGTCATTATCATAAGTGTAATAATCCAGTATTCCACTATTTCCTCTTGCACACAGAACTTAGATTTAGATGTGTATTTACACATATGTAGATGGTGGAGGTAGAAAAGGGACGAGAGAGGGAAGTGGAATATATCACATGAAAACCAGGGGTGGTATTTAGAACGAGGAAGCAGACCAGCTGAATGGAGATGTGTGGGGAAATGAGGGCAAATTATGATGGATGTGTGTGTATGTATGTATATATGTATGTATATATGTATATGTATGAAAAGGTCAAAATGAAACCCATCTAAAAAAGAAGATGTCCAGCATCTTGCTGGAAAGCAGTGAGTCTTTTCAGATTTATACTACCAACTCAGTCACACTGGAAGAATTCAGTCTCCCCACCCAGTTCAGACTCCTTATTTCCAGAGGAAAATGGAAAAGTTCTCAAGAATAATTCTGAGCTCACTGTAGAAATTCAAATACAAAATGTTACGTCTAATTTTTGTTGCTATAATGACATACTGGGGTCTTTGTAAAGAAAGTAAGTTTATTTGGTTCAGTTTTGGAGGGTGAAGCTACAAGATTGGGCTTCCTGTCTTTCTTCTGGAAAGGCACAGACATCTTTGGAGATTCTAGACAAGAAGCTGGGTTGGCAAAAATACTGTTAAGGTGGAAGGCTTAATTATAGGAACATGGGGGTCTTGCAGTTCTGTGTGTTTAAAAGTTCTTCTAACAGTAAACTAATAAGCAAAGACCACATGTATATAGAACACCACCACAGAATCTAACTTTAAATTTTTATTTTATGTTCATTGGTGTTTTGCTTTCATGTACATCTGTGTGAGGGTGTCGGATCCCTTGGAACTGGAGTTACAGACAAGTGTGAGCTGCCATGTGGGTGTTGGGAATTGAACCCAGGGCCTCTGGCAAGCCATCTCTCTGGTCCCCAGAATCTAACTTTATTGGGTTATTTTGTTTTCTCGTGACATACATGTACTTGAAACTTCCTATGTAACTAGAACAGCAGTCTTGACCCCCTTGAGAAGCCTCTGTCTCCAGAAATATTTACATTATGATTCATAACAGTAGCAAAGCTACAGTTATGAAGTAGCAATGAAATAATATTGTGGTTGGAGGTCACCACAACATGAGGAACTGTATTAAAGGGTTGCAGCATCAGGAAGATTGAGAACCACTGAACTAGAGGATGTGGAGAGCTTAATCGTTTGCCAAAGATTCTTTTCCCCTAGTACCGACTGTCCAGAAACATGTTTTGAGAGTCTATTTCTGTCGTGTGTCCCAGTCTCAGTCTGCCCTCAAGTGCACAGACCAGGGCAATCTCGTTGGATTTGGGTCCCCGCGCTCACAGCTAGGCACATTCAGACTCAAATAAACTGATTTGTTCTCACAGTTTTAACTCTGGGGTGCAGTGTTCTCTGTAGCATTGGGAAGAATCCTGAGATAGCTACTGAATTTTCCAGGGACATTGTCACCAGGGAGACACATCCTAAGCTTAACTGGAAAGGTGCCATTTCAGGAATGCCAGAGCACTTCCTAAAGCAGCAGAGGTGGGCCAGAATGTGGTTTGAAGGTCAAAGTCCTGGGGGATGGTACACTGAACCACCCTGGAGAGGGCCAGAGTCTGGTCAAATGCACAGTGCAGTTCCATCCCATTGGTGCCACAGGGTCACCACGGTCACAGCAGCTGGCCACTTACCTCTCACATCATCCTGGCTGAGCCCCGCTGACCACAGGATGTGTGGCCATCCACAGATCATATGATTCTGTAGGAAGCCTCCCACGGACTCTACTCAATTGGCTGTTTCCTAGCAACACACCCACCACACTGTCCACAAGCCCAGAGATGGCCGACAGCAGCTTAGTACAGACAAAAATCTGCCACCAGCATCTCACGAGGGGTCTATCAACCTTCTTCAAAGGTGGCTCATCCCCGGCAATTCCTGGTGGAGACCTGCAGCACTGTAAAAGCAATGCTAGAGACCCTCTTGCCTGAATACCAGTGTCTCAGATGGAGGCTTCTCTGCCTATCACATCTCTGAGAGCAGACAAGGCATTAGAGCGCTCCCCCCCCCCCCCGTGTGTGTGTGTGTGTGTGTGTGTGTGTGTGTGTGTGTGTAAAGAACAGTCCAGGAACCATGCAGATGTTGTCACAGTTAACCTAGCCTGTTCTAAATACTACACCAGTCATTCACATCTACAGAGCAAATGCTTGTCTATTAACATGGTGTGGATGTTAGTCAACATCGTATAATGGTTTCTTCCTCCAGGGTCACCACCCAAGAGCAACTGTTGGATTCAGGGAGGGAAACAGAGGGTAAAGCTAGTCTACAACCACAACTAACTGTTATTAAATGGCAACTGTAAGCCCCAGGAAGGGATGTATGTGTGTACACTACAGACTGCTGGACCGCCACCACTCAGGCGTCCCTGGTTATTCTCATGCAGCATCAGATTATTGTCGGTTGCTTTTCCCACAGAGTGCTTGAGAGGAACACTCAGGTGATACTTAGAGCAGCATCCCCCATCCACTCCCAGAAATCCATCCTAACTCCTCAACCCACCATTTTTTTTTTGTCAGTCTGATAAAAATCTACCAGGAAATCCAACTGAAGCCAGCAATTCCTAGAAGGTCTCACTGTTGTGTGCTGTACCCCCCTCCGTCCCTCCCTCCCTCTGTCCCTCCCATTCTATTTTATCCCTTTATTCTGTTACACACACTGACTTCTCTCTGTTGTACTCTATTACATTTTAACATTTGTGTTTATATCTTTGGAATGTGTATGTCTTCGTGTGTGTGTGTGTGTGTGTGTGTGTGTGTGTGCATGTGAAGGCAGGGGAATGTCTAACACACTCCACCCCTCTTATTTTTATTTTGTGTGTATTGATGCTTTGTCTGCATTTACGTTTGTGTACCATGTGTGAGCCTAGTATTCAAGGAATCCAGACGTGGGTATCAACTTCCCTGGACCTGGAATTACAGACAGTTTTGAGCCACCATGTGGGTGCTGGGAATCGAACTGTGGTCCTCTGGAAGAGCAGCCAGTGCTGAATCCCTGAACCATCTCTCCAGCTCCGCCCCCCCCCCCCCCCCCCCCCCCCCCCCCCCCCCCCGTCCCTGCCCTGCCTTAATTTTTGAGACAGGGTCTTTCGCTGAATGTAGAGCTCATTAACTGGATAGGACTAGTTGGTCATGCAACTTCTGGACTCTTCCCATCTCTTTGTTTCCAGCACTAGGATTTCAGGTGCACACTCCCGCCACCGACTTTTTATGTGGGTTCTGGGAATCTGAACTCCAATTGTGTGTGTGCCCGATGTTTCACTGACTGGACCATCTCCCTAGCCCCTCTTTGTAATAGAAATCTTTTAAAAATTCCATTCTATCTTCTGGGAAGTCTGAACTTTCCATTCTTTTTTCTGTCTCTCGTGCCATTGACACCTTTGTTCTGTGATAACTAATGGTAGATAATCACTCCTTGCAGGGAGAAGGCTCACTGGACAGCATGCCTCACACCTCTCTGAGGCAGGGTTGTGTGTGGTCATGAAGACAGAAGGTGCCGCTTGAGTCTCCTCTCTTCCCACAAAGCCACCAGTGTTCAATCACCGAGGCTCCACTCTGACCACCCAATCCCAGCCACATCCCCAGAGCCCTTCCTCTAAATGACACAGATTAAGTTTTCACCCTCGGAATGGTTGCTGGGATTAGACACGAGCATTCAGAGAACACGTGATACTCAGAGCAGAGCGCAGACTACGGACATGGCATCTGGGTTTATCTATCTAGGCGCCCCTTTTCATCAGTGCCAGGGTGTTGCAGGGTGATAGCCTGGATGCTTGGGTTTTGGAGAATAGTGCCCAAAATAAGCAACGTGGGGCTCCCCAGGGAGAACAAAGGGCTCTCCTGGGATGAGCATGTGAGCGGAGCTCCCCTGCAGGGGCTGTGGAACTCCATCTGACGCATTTGGGCTTTAAAATTTTTTTTTTCTCTCCTGCATACCAAAATACCCATACCATTTTCCAGTTAACTGCAGCTTTATTGTACTGTATTATATTCTTGGAATATTAACAGCACACACCAACGAGTATATTTTTGTATGTAAATTTACAGTGCCATTCATATTTTCTCACTCATTCCCCTCCGTTGGCCTCATAATAGAATAGAAAGCCTCCTGTTGGCTAAAGGGTTAATGATGTAGCTTTGGGATTCCCTCCGTGTCCCCCTCCCCGCCAACCCCCCCCCCCCGCCCCCGCCCGGAGGCTTAGCTTGCATAGGTGTTTTTATTTCTTTATTAGGAAGAGTTCAGGGAGAAGAGGCTAGCCTTTGACTGTGCCTTCTGTGTGCATTCATAATAAAAGCTGGTACATTCATGGCTGCTCCATGATGTAGAAGAACCAGTGAATGAAAGTTTGGGTACAGCTCACCTCCAAGAGAGTGGTCCTGCTTCACCCGTCCCTGACCTGACCGGTCTCCAGCGTCCTTATAAAGCTAAATTTCCCCCTTTCTACACAGGCTTGTCTCTTCCTCCTAGCATTTTTGTCAAATCAATCTGGGTGGTGTTATTTTTTTTTTCTTTCTCTCTCTCTCTCTCTTTTTTTTTTTTTCCCACACTGCTGTTGGATAAAAGATCCCGCCCTTGATTGAAATGGAATCTTCCACTATTGAGCGAGCCTTTGTTGAATGAGTCATCGGCGCAGCCGCTCATTGGCTGAGGCCGCCTGAGCCCAGGGGATTGCCTGGCACCGGCTGCAAGGCCCCGCTCCATTCACAGAAACGCTGGCTCGCTCGCTGGCCCTTTCATTCACACAAACAGCATCTCATTCACATTCTGTCGTTTTTTTGTCTGCTTCTAATGAAGACCACGGTTTGGGAATGGTGGGGCTGACTTGCTTCAGATTGGAGGGGGACTCTAATCACCATCGAAATCGTCCGTGGGGTGCGCATCTGCTGTTGCTATGCAAGCTAGGGGAAGGGAAAAAAGAGAGTGCGGGGTGGCTGCTGGGCTAGGGCTGCGGCGCGGTTGGAGAGCGGTGGGGAAGTGTTTGCTGCGCCAGGGCGGGCCTGGCTGCTCTGCGCTCCTCCGTCCTCTGAAGCCTGCCTCACCCGCGCTCCCGCCATGGGTGGCGCTCCCTAAACTCCGTTCCTGGGGCTCCCAGAAAGCCTGGGAACCTCGCAGCCACCTGAGATCAGCTCCGGGCGTGAGAAGACTCAGGGTGACCTGCTAGTGTGCTGGAAGGCAAAAGCATTCGCTTGCACAGAAGTTACCGGGAAACTTTGACAGCGACTGACTTCTCTGTGGTGCAGGTTATCAATCTTAACGCATGAGGCCACCTGGCAGAGGCCACCGAGGAAGGGGTCAGTGGGTCTCAGAATCTTGGACAGACCTTCGGGGAGGCTGTCGATGTCCTGTTCTCCTAAACGCCAGGAAGAAGGCCTGTGTGTGTCACTGCAAGCCTGAGCCTGACTCCCAAGGATGAGGCCGTTCTTGCTGTGGATTTGATGGGCAGTTAGAGCAGCCGCATTTTTTTCTGCCTGACTGCAGGGCTGCAAAGCAGCAATTGAAGGGACATTGAAATGGATTGGTGGTGTTCCTAAGGCATGCTTCCAGGGCTCAAACACATTCAGCTGGAATAAAGCTCACAACGCAGCCCTCTTTCCCCTTTTTCTTTTTTGGCATGGATTTCTCGAGCCTGTTGCCGCTCATCATAGAAGCACTATTCTTTTTTGGAAGTAGATTTTCAACTTAACCCTGACTGAGAAAGGCTGCTGATTGCTGTAAATTATCAGGAAAGACCCCTTGAGCTGTACTGAGAAGAAGTGCATGAGCAGATTTGGTTTTTTCGTGTGTTATCTGAGGAATTGCTTCGCCACAGACACTCGCCAGCAGACATTCATGGCTGCTCTGTTGATCTGAACAAGAAAAGCAAACCACAGAAAATTGATGCTTTTTAAAAATATTCATCTGATGGTGAAGGGTCCCCTCTTTTTCTTACTTAAAAATTCTTGCTCCTTTCCAAATCAGGATCCATCAGGATTCGCCTGAAGATCTCTTAGGAAGCCTTCGTCACATTTTAACGCATCGCTGTCAGGCACTTCTGGGGCTCACCCACATGAGCTGAGCAAAGGAAGAACAAACCCTGACATGGAATAATGGATTTTGGAAAGTTCAAGAGATCATTTGAAGGAGCTGGATTTGCCTTTGGCACAAATGCGGGCTGGGGAAGGGGTAGGTGAAAAAGCAAAGATCGGAAGGAAATATCTGCGAAGGTAGAAAAAGGAAAATTGAGAACTGATTGGCTGTAGTTGCTGACAGCGGGTGGATGTCGTTTTCTTCTCTCTCTTTTTGCTACAGGAAGTGGTTTGCGGAGCTCACCGAGCCTTTGTTGAGAAGGGTCTCCTCAGAGTGAGTCACGCTTTTGCTGGGAGCAGCCCGGTGCAGCTGGGCGCTCCATCAGCGGCAACTATGACTTTTGCAAGGCAAGCGTTCCACCCCAACCCGTGGTCTCCCGGGCCCGCGCTGCGTGTCGGCTGCTCTGCTGCCTTGTAACGGTGTGAGGGCTCGGTCGCCGGCCTCGTCTGTCCCTCTCCGGAAAGGTTGTCCTGGGACCCCAGCTCCTGGTCCCTCTCCGGGGCTCGCGGCTCGTGTGCTATGCGCGGCAGCCCGCGCCGGGGCCGGCACCAGCAGCGCCCGGGCGGATGCGGCGAGCTCACGGAGGGGCATGCTTCCACGCACCAAGTACAACCGCTTCAGGAATGACTCGGTGACATCGGTCGATGACCTTCTCCACAGCCTGTCGGTGAGCGGCAGCGGCAGCGGCGGCAAGGTCTCGGCGGCGCCCGCGGCGACCCCCTACCTGGTGTCGGGCGAGGCGCTGCGCAAGGCGCCGGACGATGGGCCCGGCAGCCTGGGCCACCTGCTCCACAAGGTGTCCCACCTGAAACTCTCCAGCTCCGGCCTGCGTGGCCTGTCGTCGGCCGCCCGGGAGCGGGCGGGCGCGCGGCTCTCGGGCAGCTGCAGCGCGCCCAGCCTGGCGGCCCCGGACGGTGGCAGCGCGACCCCCGGGTCCCGCGCCCAGGCCGCCAGCATGAGCGCCCCCAGGAAGAGCCGGGCCGGCGACGAGCCGCTGCCCAGGCCCCCGCGGGGCGCACCTCACTCCAACGACCAGGTGCTGGGGCCGGGAGTCACCTATGTGGTCAAGGTAGGTAACTGGAGCACACAGCTGGGCGAAGGTCCTGGGGCCGGGGTGCGTGGGGGAGTTGGGGCAGCTGGGGACAGATGTCCTTCTCTGAAGCTCCAAGGTGTGGGGAACACAGACGACGGTTTGAATATGAGGAAATGCGCCCATCTTAGCCATCCTCTTGCTTGACAGGGCAAGGAGTGAACTACAAATGTACCTTTCACATGTGGCGGGTGGAGGTAAAGGTTGAACTGTCTGGCCCCCTCGCATGGGGCCTGCTTTCCCCAGGGCACTCTTGTTGAGGTCTACTTCTGCTACCTGGCTTCATCAGAAGTCCTGCCAGCGTCCCCTCTCGCTCTAGGCGTCTACCCTGAGATCGTGGTCTGGCCTACTAGAAGTACACTAGTCAGATCTGGCAGCCACCCCCCCCCCCCAATGCCATAACTCCTGGCGGCGGGGTGGGCCATATTCCCCTCCAGAGCAAGACCACCCAGCTTCTGGAGGGCAGGGCAGAGGCAGCCTTGCTTCCTATAAGATGGGTTCTAGTGTTTTACCTGGAAAGATATTCTTTGGCCCTGAACTGTTTTGGTTTACTTCAGTGGAAGGAGTAGGTGGGACTATTTTTTGGGTGATAATTGTCTTCCCTTTAAGTGGACTAACAGGGGATGAGGCTGTGGCTCTTGGACCCACAGGCTGGAAAGGACTTTTTCTTGCAACACAATGAACGATTTTATACATATATGATTACACACACACACACACACACACACACACACACACACACACACACACACACACTTACAGTGTAATTGGTAGAATTCCTGCGGTTCACAAGCATGCCGTGGCGTTTAAGGTACTCAGCACAGCTCAGTTAATCTGCCGAGTGCTCATTTCCTCCAGTCTGACCAGCTGAAGCAGCCACAGCCATGCTTCTCCCAGGTGAGGGCCAGGAGGGAGTCCAGGGGCTTGTTTCAGTCTCACCACCCCAGGCATAGCTTTTCTGATGAAACAGATGCTCTCCCAGCCACCTGCGTTAACAAACCTGTAGGACAGACTGTCTGGTCTGTAAGCACTAGTTGCAGATCCAATTTAAAAATTCCACAGGGCACATCTTTGGGTAAAATGCAGTATCTTAGCAGCTTGGAACCAACTTCCCAAAGGAATGCATGTTATCTTTGACTGTATAAAACACATATAAAGCTTTCTCCCCTCCAGCCTGCACTTTAATTTGACCTCTCAGCTACTGAACACAGATCATACTTTATCATCATATTTTAGCAAAAGGGACACAGATTAGCATAAAACATATGCATCTGGTTGAGTTTATCTTTAAAAGGATGAATATTGCTTATTTAAATTACATGTCCAGGGGCCAAAGAGTAAAAGCAAGCAAGCAAGCAAAAGCAAACAAACAAAACCGGAACCCTGACAACCTGGAGGTTAAATCATGACTGTAATATATTCGTTCTCTCTCTTAGTCTCATCATTGCATCTTATGCTTCTTTCTGGGAAGCATTTAAAATAAACAAGGGGAGCTGGGCAAAGCTATTGGTATGTATTAGGTAGGACACAGAGGGTTGCTTTCAAAATGAGGGACAATTCTCAAACTCCTGTTTGAAAAGAACCACTTTGCTTGATGTCAGCCGTACCAGTTTCCAAGGAGCAGGCCAACGAGTCTGGAATCTGAATATTCAGCCAGACAAATTAAAATGGTATTTTAGGGAGAAAAATCCCTTTACCTAAGGCTTTGCCCTGGTCAGATGGGCATAGGAAGATGAACATAGGAAGACAGTGGGCTTAGCCTGGGCTCTTCCTGTGGGGACAGTTTTGAGTTCTCTTAGAGTCAGCAGCAGTATACTCAGGGCCAGAAAGCGGACTGGGTGTACTCTGAGGCTGCTTGTGTCCCTGAGGGGGCAGTAGTGCCCCAGGGGCACTGGCACATGGAGGTGCATGGCACTGTCCTCTCTTGGTCCTGTTGTTGGCCAGCAGCTGTGAACAGTGGCGTCCTGTGAGCATAAGTCCAGGGGTGGTCCCTGAATCCCTGAAGAAGTCTGAGATCACACAGAACGAAATCCAGACACTAAATGACAATTGCAGTCCTTGTGTGCCTGTCCCCTTCAACTGATCGAATGGCCTCCTGTTGGCACATGTGAGCAGATTTCCCACATTGCCATGTTGTGCTTAAAATGACTTGTTTTATTGAAAAACTCAAAAACTTACAATCTCTGAATTTAGTCTTGTGGATGACTGAAGGACTCTGCTGATACCTTCAGACGCCTGCATTTTCTAATAGGGACTCAGTTCTAAAATCTGAAGATTTACCGTTTGTGAAACTGCTTAATTCTATTTGATATAATTCTAAGTTAAAGAAAGCCCCAGATGTTTTCCAGTTTTCTGAAAAATTCCTACACTGGATCATCACAGGGATCTACAAGAAGTACCAAGTGGTAGGTGGTAATGGGGTGTTGTAGACAGGAGTGATAATTCTCAGATACTTCATCTACTTGACAGAGGTGTTGTAGATACTGAAGCTTGATGGGTTTTGATTGTCTATACAATGTCAAACCATTTCTTCAATGAAGAATAGAAGAGTGAAAACTGAAAGAAGTTCTCAACCAGCAGAATTCCAAGCCACCAGCACATTTAACCAGTACTGCTTTCAGCTACCCCTGGGTCTGCTGTTAGTTCACCCTTTTCTTTAAGAGTTTTCTTTTTCTTTTTCTTTTTTTCTTTCTTGAGACAGGGTCTTAGTATCCCAGGCTAGATTTGAACTTACTATGTAGTCAGTCAATGATGACCTTGAACTTCTGATCCTCCTGCCTCTACCTCTGTGTGGAAATTGCAGGTATGTACAGACCTGCCTGGTTCATGGAGATCCATGGGATCAAATTTGGGGCTTCCAGCATCCTATGTAAGCACTCTATCAACGTAGCCACAGACCTGAGCCTGCTGTTAGAGAAGGGCAGGGGCTTATGCACTCAGGAGAGCTCAGGTTTAGACTGCTTTGAGCCAGGCCTCACCGGCAACACTATTTTATCCCTCCAAGTATCCCAGACACTTGTTTAATTGTGGTAACATAAAAGAGAAAGAACAGGAAGCCATGCCATGGATAGACAGAACAGAAAAACCTAAGAGCAAAGAACTGCGAATAGTGTCCTTACATGTCTATCTAAAGCTTGCTTTCTCTTTGGATATAACAACAGTCTGGAGATGGCTGGAGATAAAGGAATGTGAGTTTGCAGCCGCTCACCTGGCGTGGTGCGACCGCTCAGGCTGCCCCTCCTTCTCTTTCCTGGTTCCAGTCAGGGGGTTTACCGTTTGTGGAAGGACCTGGAACCAGAGAGTCCCTGAAGACAAGCAGGTCTCAGGTCTGGTTTTGGAACTGCTTGGTGGAGCCCGAGACTACAGTTGTCAGGTGTGAGACTGTGGTCTGCCCTGGGCCAGTCTTTGGCTCCAATGTGCTCCTCCAAGAAGGGCTCTTTAGAATGCAGATTTTAAAAGGCCCAGAGGGGTTGATGTGCTGAGAAGTGAACACATTTAGAGCAGGCTCAAGTGCTAACAGCCAAAGTAAGATCCACCCGAGAAGCAAAGACTGGAGGTTCTCAGCAGAGCTGAGCGTACTGTGGTTGCCACCCAGGGAGCTGGCAGGTTAGGCTGCTCAGAGGTCCTGCTGATGGCTGTATTTCTGTTTGTGGGCATCACCCCTTTACTGGGGTGAAAGGTCTCCCCCAGTGTTGAACATTGAACCCAGGGCCCCCTACATCCTTGCTATCATTTTGCTGCTGAACCTCCAGGCCTGAGGAGGTTTTGCCAACCAAAAAGGAGGAGGAGTTACTCCCTGGCATGCTGGGACTGGGTTTCTTCTGGAACAAAGCCTTGGTGTTTTTTTTTTTTTTTCCTATAAACTCTTTTAAAATAATTTCATTTCTCTGATTTATGAATCTGGTGACATCTGGGGTGTGTGAGTCATCTGTTTTATTCATTGATCTTCTATTTATCTTTATGGATGGTTTTTATAAACTAGATTTATTCTGAAATTATTCTTGAATTTTGATTTGACTCATCTATAAAGACATCTTTTTCTTACAGCTTGTTTTTAGGAACTGTGAGTAAAGTTCATGCCAAATAGTCATCGCAAGTCCTTTTAAGTACGTCCACGATGCCTTAGGGAGAATTAATTGAATTTTGTTTTAGTTCTAGATGAGTTGAACTTTGTTTTATCTTCAAGTTGTTCAATAACCTTGTAATGTGTAGCTTGCATGAAAATAGCACCTAGAACATTTGAACAATAGCTTTAGAAATTCTCATGACATTAATGGTTACGTTCTTAATTTGGTCTGGAAAAATGTGTCCTCTCTTATGTGACATAAGTGTCGATGTGTAAAATGAGTATACCCTGTTACATATCCATATCTTACACCCCACTACAAAGATATATACACATGCCACATACCATACATATACATATCACACTCTACACACAAACTGCCAAGATATATACTCATACCACACACATCACACCACACCACACATACAGAGTACAACCCCATACCTCATATACTTATACATACACACATTATTATAGCCAATTACCACACACACATACATACCACATATTATATATATAACATCTGTACATCTTACATACACAATGCACAAATATACACCAATGCCACATACTACACACATACCACTTCATATCCACATATCTCTATCCTCTCATACACTGCAGAATTATATACACAAATCACATGTACATACCTTATATACCATGTTATAAAATACCCTTATACACACATTGCATAGACATATATACACACTACACTACACACATATATGCACCACATACATAAACACACACCTCACACACACTGTATAAATATACACACATGTTATATACTACATACAGACTCATATCTTGCATCACATATGCATGTTTCTCCCATTGTATAGATAAATATACATGCTATACACTGCACACATACACACATAGCACATATCATATACATATACTGTATATA